TATTTTCTTCTCATAAAGTTCTGAGAATTTTTTCAGAATTTTTTCAGAATTTTTTAATACCGTATTTTCTCACGTTGGTAAAAATAAGAAAATGCAGTACTAAAAAGTTGATAATAAATTCTGAAAAAATTCTCAGAACTTTATGAGAAGAAAATAAATGATTTTTGTCTCTTGCAGTTTTTCTGTACAGTTAATATTTGAGTAAAAAATTATTCAAGACCAATATTTTGCAACACCCTGTATATAATAATTATTTTAATGGTCCAAAAATTATTTTCAGATCTGAATCTATACCTAAATTTTTAGATACTTCAGAAAAATCGTTCTTTCTATATTTATATCTTTCTGAAGGAATTTATATCCTCTCTTTGGTGATTATTTATATCCTTTTATTCATAAAATTTCAAAGAATTCTGTTTTCTTCTTTCATACTTCCCTCTATTATCTTCTCAGTCCAGTCTACTGGAAAGCGACTTTCCAAGTGGCTTTACTCTCGATTAAATTGAAACTGTAATTTGGATCGAAAACGTACCTCTCGTCCGGCCGATTTTCATCAGACAACGCGCTCGACGAGGCGTGGGGTTGCGGTTGCTGCTGAAAGTAAAAGCCACCGAGACCTACGGTACCCAGCGGAGTCCTCCGTCCTGGTGCGCTTTGAGTGTGCTCCGATGAGTACGCTGCCGGAGGGCCTGACACACCCGGGTGCGAAGCTCCTGGTGTCGAATACACGGACTCGAGAGCTGCCGCGGATTGTGGAGGCAATGGATGCTAGAAAAAACAATTTTTCGTTAGAATTTTGAATGAGAAATGTATTAATAATTTTGACATTATAATGCATTTGTTATTATCTCTAGGATGTATATAATAATATTAATGAATGCATGTAAAGGAGCAAGAGAGTTTAATAATTGATTTAATTTTATCATTTTTAGGACTTTCTTTAAAAATAATTTAGAATTTGTACTCAAATACTTGTCTTCAACTTTCTGAAATTAAACTTCTATTTTATTCTAACATTTATTTTTTATTTCAATTTAATCTACTATACTTTACCTTGTTGTAGTTTACTTATTTTATCGTTGCTGGCAAAAATATCATAATTCTGTTTCTTTAATAGCTCATTTCAACTATTTTTTAAAGGACTCCAATCTAATTATGTGGATTTTGATGAAATGAGTTAGTTTTCACATATAATGTAGCTAACAATGTAATGACTAAATGATGCCATAGATACAAGACTCAATAATTGATAGTTCTCAAGCTATGGTGTATCAAAAACTTGTTTTCACAGAACATTTTTGATACATCATAGCTCAAAAACTATCCATTATTGAGCTTTATGTTTATAATGTTCTTCTTCACCATTTTATCAGTTATGTCGTTTGTAAAAATTAATTTATTTTATGAGAATTCAATTTCCATATAAAATTAGTGTTGAATTCGTAGCAATTATCCATGCGAGATAATCAATGGTATATAAGTGTTTAATCAGGGGACATGTTCTTCATGTCCTTACTTACGGCATTGCGATGCTCCCAGGCCCAGGTAGGATGTGACGCGGTGCGTTGCCAGGATCCTTGCTGCAGATGCGGCTCCGGCAGGCCCTCCCTGCGATCGTCATCCTCCGTCGAGCTACTCTCGCCATCATAGGACCTCATCTCTTGCGAGGACACTTTCCCGATTTACTCGGCAAATCCCTCCTCACTCTTCTCGCCCTCAATCCCTACATTTGCAAATTTCAATTTTATACTTTTCCCTATTCTTATAAAAAGACCTTGTTCAAATTTATTTAATTAATGATAAACATGTATTTGTTTTGAAATTTTTCACATTTTTCTTTAAACGATTTTTAGTATAATTTATGTATATCTCAGTTTCTATGGGTGCTCAGTAAAATAAAATAAAATAAAATTAAGTTTCAACCTATTTAATATTCCACATTTTGAAACATTTCGGCACTACTTTTTTCGCGAATAATTCATTTCATCTCGCTGAAACTCATTTTATTTAACGCAGTTCATTTAACTTTCAAGCATTTCACATCTTTTTAATAATTAATCAATAATAAATTCATTTTATTATTGCATTTCCGTCTCAAACTTTTTCGTTTCTTTAAGAAAGCTCCAAGATTGATTTTACTTTCTGGATGAATTTTCCATTTTCTACCCTCAGGAAAGATCTCTATATTTTCATTTCCGCATTTTTCTATTAACGAGCACCGCCGCCATTCGTATAGAGGGGTAGCAGGCGTCATCGTTGGTTCTAAACGCAATCAATAGCAAGCGGAACACTTACCGACGACGATTTTCTTTTTCCACCCCCCGCGCGTGCCCCGCGGGGTGCAGAATCCGGCAATCAGCAAAGTTTCTCGCGCACCAGCGCGTAACGCCGGGTCATCCCTTCGTCCGAACGTTTCCGCGTTTTCTCAACGACCAGCTCGAACTCTCGCGAATCCTGATCCTGGACGGACTGCCGTGGCCTCCTATTGTTCTACCGTCGTAATCACCCAACTCGGCCAATCACAGCCATTTTAATTTGCTGGGGGTTGTCTCGGTGGTCGGTGGAAAAAAAAAATCCGTGAGTCCTTCGAGAAATTCTTTCTGTGGGAGATCTGTCTCGCGGAAGTGATGTTTGATAAATTCTTGAGTTTCTTGCCTCACGATGACGATTTCCGATAAAATCGTCCTTGACGAAATTATCGCCCCCGAACGTGGCACGTCCCAGGCCTCAGGGGCACGCACGCGTCTCTCCCCGTTGTTTGGTGGATCCTGCGCAGAAGAGAACAACCCCCGAATTAATTCGACGACTGTGTGCCAGGGTGCGCCCGTTGCGACCGGGGGATGCTGCGCTGGACCATCGACTGGCGTACCCTGGCGGGTAGGACCAAAGATCATCCCCGAGAGCATGTTGTTACCATCGGAAAAGAGAAATTGTGCCCAAGAGAAGTCGCTAGTTGCCAGAAATATATTTCACGTAAGGTCGCCTTTCATTTCTTTAAATCTTTGACGAGAATCACTCACGAGAAATGTAAAAATTTCTTTCGCAAGTGATTCAAAGTTAGAAATGAAAAAGTTGAAGAATGATAGTTCGAAAATTAAAATGGAAAATGGATTGTCGAATGGAATTTTTATCAAGGAAAAACTTTACTCCAAACTTGGCCCATAACTTTTGGCAAAAGGGAGTTACTCCTAAAATCATTTCTCTATTAATTATATTTCGGTAGTCTACCCACTTTTACTCGCGGAGTAGCAAATAACCAAATGAATATCTTGCGGATAATAAAAAATATATATTCTAGTAAATATATTTGATGTAATTTTGATAAACTTGGCAGTATTTATACTGACATATTTATTATTATTATTACATTTTATACATCGACATTCTGCAACATTACATATATCATACTGCCATTTCATCTTTTCTTTAAATATTTTACAAAATTTGTTACAATTGATAAACGGTTGTTATAATTGATGAACAGTATTTATTACATAACAATAATAAATATTTCAATACTTATTACATTACGAATACTGAACTATTTATTGTTGTTACATTTTATATATCAACACTCTGCAACATACTGCTGTATATTTCATCTTTTCTTCGAAAATTCTGTATATTTACTATTATATTTATTGCCACAATGAACACAATGGACCTTCCTCTAGACCCTCCGCTATCACAAAGAAATTCACGTCGTTCCCTCGATTTTACCGTAAATTTCTCTTCCTCGTCTCTCCCATTTCTTCGCCCGATCTACCGTGTGTCGCGTTTACAATTCGCCGACATACATCGTCGTTGAATACGATTAACGGACACGCGTTAGAACGTAGAAAAACACCGCGAGCGCATCGCCGGGGATGCCGAGACAATTCGGCGACAGCCATCGTCCCCTCTGTGTGTGAATCACCCCTTTCCTACCCCCCTTGAGAACGTCCATGCCGTACGGACGCGAGCGAACCGGGTAACCCCGGTTAGTTTTACTTTTGTGTTGGCTGCGTGCGTGGCGTGCGTGTGGACGCACGTGCGTGTGTTTGCGTGCATTTACCGTAAACACAACGCGACGTAATAATATTCCGAGCTGCCGGAGAACCGTGGCGCGGGACCAGCGCTGAGACGCCCGCAACTTCGACATCGCATAAATTAATCGAAGGAGTTAAACGGGGTTGTTTGCGCGCGTACTTTATTTCGCGGCCTGGAGAGGATAATTAATGCCGGCGCGCGAGTATTTGGAGGTGACTAGCGGATGCTTTATGGGCGAAATATTATAAATTTCCGGAAATATGCGTCCGAAATGTATTCCCACGTGCATTTAAGCTAAACCAGAGGCGTCTCTCATTATGACGTATCGTAATTAGTTATTTCTATTGTTAGCCAATATTTTCAAATTTTAATTATGCAAATGTATTGAAGTGTATACAGTGGATACGAAAAGTAATCATGTAAGGAAGATGTTCGTAAAAAAGTATATTATTGTAATTTTCTATTATTTGCAGAAAATAAGCATTAATTATTAATTCATTAACAATGAATAACGTTTTCTTTTAGCATATATAAAAAAACTTCAAGAAAATAACAGAGTTCATGACCTTAAAAGATATAAAGTTTCTCTGTATTAACTGTACGAATACTTTATTTAGTTTTTGTGCGTCCAAATAATACAATTTTTCATTTTTGTTTATTATAAAGTTAACATAGCTTAATTATTACACATCTTTTTAGATAAAATAATTTTAAGAAGACTATAATCTATTTTATTCTTTGTTAAAAATTGCTAAAATGTTTACTTTCTAAAAATAAGATTTTTCTAAAAGAAATCTCTCCTTTCCAAATTCTTTTTACACTCACTTTATTAAAATATCATTAAGAATTTTTCTAGACTTGGGATAGGTAAATATCTGTGCAATAAATCTTTGATAAAATATTTCAGAAACATATTTGAGCTACTAAATAAATTCTCTCGTGGTTATTATTTCTCGAAGAAATTATCTATAAATGTGCTGTTATTCTAAACGAAATAAATTTAAAAGTCACTCGATAATTGAGTCTTTCTCTTACATTTTTAGCTTGAATAAGTTTAATAAACATTATAAATTAAAATGGACTTTGCAGAGATAAATAAAATAATGAAAAATATCGAAAGAGCACATACTCAAAGAAAGATAATTGATTAAATAAGAATTTAAAAATAATGAAATATCTTTATGATATTTAAATTTCCGTTCTTTCGTAAAAGACTTGCGGCTGAAAGAGCTGAATTATTGAGAATACATCGATGTGCTCCGCTCGCGAGATACGAGCGAAATCTTTCTAGGTCGGGCGGCAACCATAGCGCCTGAAGATTTATCGTTTCCCTCGCACTGAGAAATATCCTGAGATCTCGAAAATAATTACGAGCGCGTCTGCTTTGCTGTACTGCGCAGAATTAATCATGCCTGCACATCCAGATCCATTAGGGAAGCATAAAGTAACTGCGGCAATTAATTCAACACAAACGTATTCTTATTTATTTTTATAATAAATCCTTTGCAGTATTTTAAAAAGAGAGATACTTATTTACACCATTTTTTAAATTGATAATCCATGTTATGTCGTGACATTATTTCCAACTTCAATTTATAATTGCGTTTTAAATCCAACGAACCGAATTAATATTGCAGATCTGTAACCTTTTCTATAATAATGTTTCCTTTGTAATGTATTATGTACAATTTTATTTTACACACTCTCGTGATTCTTAAACAACTCAGAAATACCAATCATGGAAATCTCAAAAATTGTATAAACTCTATTTTAATATATTTAACTACATTATTGTGAAATAAAATTACAATTATCTCACTTTATTAATACATTAGAGTTGTAGATATCCTTCTGTATAAATTTTTCAAGCAAAGCTCAACAAAATTATTATATACTGTTATTATCATTTCCCGTAACTCTGTCAAGAAGCAGAATCTATTAACATCATTTATTTATCAACTTTATACTTCCTCTACATAAATTCGAACTAGCCTCAAAAATCTAGCTTGATACATTTAAACGTGATTATTGTCACCTGTTAATAACATTTATATCAGAAAGCAGGATCTGTCCTAGTTATCTTCCATTAATATTATATCGCCTCGCACTTTGTACATTCGTCCCATAAATCTCAAGCAGGTCGGAAAGACTTGCTCTAAAAGGATTAAACACGACCGTCGTCACCTCACCATAACGTTATCAGGAAGCAGGCTCTGTCCCAATTATTTCCGAAAGGAAAGGAACGCGTCGATGAGCGAACCGGAAGGAATATCGAAGAAGATAGAAAGGGAGGAAAAAGGATCGCACATGAGCATCTATCAGACATATCTATCAAGCGTACAATACCGCTCGGTACGACGTACAGATCGCGAGACCGATGATAGACAAGGAAAGATAGACAGATAAATAGATAGATAAATAGATGGATAGATAAATAGATGATAGGGAGAGAGAAAGAGAGAGAGACGGGGAGTGGTGGTTGGCGTTCGGGGGTGGTTTTCGGGCCGACGGGCGGCCGGACTCCTGAGGGATGAGGGACGACGAGGG